AGGCCTTCAACATTTTCTTGTGCTAGTTGACTATTAGATAACCACAATATTAGACTTGTCTACATCTTATCATTATGCTGTACTGCTGTTTTATAGCCTATTTATTACTCTATTGTACTGTTCTACAAAAAAACTTATCACTACCTCGTACTGCTGTACAGCAAACTCATCAACTCATCACCACCTTGTACTATCTAAAATAAAATGATCATTACCTTGTTCTTCTGTAAGAAAAGGTAACCCAGTGTACTCGTCCTGTGGCTCAGAGATCACGTGACTGGAGTTACCAATCAGAAAGTAGGTCTGCATTATGCCTTTCCCTTTGATCTCAGTCTGACCCCGAGCCTTGCACAGATAACCTTCACCTTCAAGCGCCCTGGAAGAAAAATGTTTCAGTTGAGGGGAAACTATATTTGTTTTTAAATTGATTTTTTTTTACACATTTTACAATATCATATTTAAGGTTAGGTTAAAATTCTATATGTGAGCTGGGCCTTAGAACTTTCGAACCCTTATATCTTCCATCGGAGAAAAAGGTTTAAAAACCCCTAATAACATAAACTAGTAAGTTAAGGGACCGTGAGAAAATGACCTTGACCTACTTGTGTGTGTGTGTGTGTGAGCGACCCTAGCTTAAGCTTAGCGGTCTTAGACAATGTGAGAATGACCTTGACCTACTTGTAAGTTTGGGAGATGACTAATATAAGAATGGCCTTGACCATGTTTATTGTAGGGCTAAACTAAAATGACTCGACCTATTTATAATGGGAGGGGGCTGTATTCTAATAATCTTGACCTAATGGTAAGTATGGTAGGGAACAGATATGATAATGACCGTGGCCTATTTGCAAATTGAGATACTTGTACAGTGACCTACTTGTACATTGACCTACTTGTAAACTGACCTACTTGCACACTGACATACTTGTACATTGACCTACTTGTACATAGACTTACTTGTACATTGACCTACTTGTACATTGACCTACTTGTACATTGACCTACTTGTAGGTTGTGGTAAGGGACGGATATGGGAATGGCATTGACCTACTTTTACATTTACCTACTTGTACACTAACCTACTTGTACATTGACCTACTTGTACACTGACCTACTTGTACATTGACCTACTTGTATGTAGTGGGGCTGAGGTGGATCCTGCCCGGGATCCCGTGACTCTCCATCCTAGAGGCCGTGTTGACCGTGTCCCCAAACAGGCAGTAGCGGGGCATCTTCAGGCCCACCACGCCCGCCACCACCGGCCCGGAGTGGAGGCCCACACGAATCTGATGGAAGTAACAAGTGACCAGAGGTTCTTTCAGGTATTTCATCTGTGGGCACACCCCACTCCCCACACCCCAAGGAAAGGGATCTAATGTGTAGTTATATTTTCATTACAAGTGTGCTTAACCTAACCCATACTAATCTTTATTTCATCACAAGTCCAAAACCTACCTGCAGAGGTTTCCCTGTGGCAGGTGACAGGACGCAGGCTGCCTGCTCCACCATGTCCAGGGCAAAGTTGGCCACGGGCTGGGCGTGGACGTCCGTCTTCTCGGGCACGCCGCTGACCACCATGTAGGCGTCACCAATCGTCTCCACCTGGGTGGGGGGGGGGGAAGAGGAATAGGAGGTGGGGGGGGGGGGTTAAGGGGGTGTTCCAAAACTTTTACTACACCATTTTTTCAACAAAAGGTCAATGTATTCTATACAGACAGAAAATCAAACTTGTATACCACCAAACCTACCTCTGGTGACCACCAAACCCACCTTAACAAACCCACCTCTAGTGACCACCAAACCCACCTTAACAAACCCACCTCTAGTGACCACCAAACCCACCTTAACAAACCCACCTCTAGTGACCACAAAACCCACCTTAACAAACCCACCTCTAGTGACCACTAAACCCACCTCTAGAGACCACCGAACCCACCTCTGATGACCACCAAACCCACCTCTAGTGACCACCAAACCCACCTCTGGTGACCACCAAACCCACCTCTAGTGACCACCAAACCCACCTCTAGTGACCACCAAACCCACCTCTAGTGACCACCAAACCCACCTCTAGTGACCACCAAACCCACCTCTAGTGACCACCAAACCCACCTCTGGTGACCACCAAACCCACCTCTGTGGACCACCAAACCCACCTTGTAGACCCCGTGTACTGTGGTCTTGAGGTCGAACCTGTGGTACATGTCGTTGAGCATGTTGACCACATCCAGGGGCGAGCAGGCCGCGGCGATGTTGGTGAAGGTCACGATGTCGCTAAACAGGATGGTCACCTGGTCAAACTTTTCTGCTCGCGGGGAGGGGGTGGGTAGAGGAAAAGGTATGATGAAACTTCATTAAGCATCCTGCCATTCATGTCACCTACCCACCATAACCCACCTGCTACACCTCTCACCCACCTGCTACATCTGTCCTCCACCTGCTACACCTGTCACCCACCCGCTACACCTCTCACCCACCTGCTACGCCTGTCACCCACCTGCTACACCTGTTACCCACCTGCTACACCTGTCACCACCTGCTACACCTGTCACCCACCTGCTACACCTGTCACCCACCTGTCACCCACCTGCTACACCTGTCACCCACCTGCTACGCCTGTCCCCCACCTGCTAAACTTGTCACCCACCTGCTACACCTGTCACCCACCTGCTACACCTGTCACCCACCTGCTACGCCTGTCACCCACCTGTCACCTACCTGCTACACCTGTCACCCACCTGTCACCCACCTGCTACATCTGTCACCCACCTGCTACACCTCTCACCCACCTACTACACCTGTCACCCACCTGCTACACTTGTCACCCACCTGCTACACCTGTACCACCTGCTACGCCTGTCACCCACCTGTCACCTACCTGCTACACCTGTCACCCACCTGTCACCCACCTGCTACACCTGTCACCCACCTGTCACCCACCTGCTACACCTGTCACCCACCTGCTACGCCTGTCCCCCACCTGCTAAACTTGTCACCCACCTGCTACACCTGTCACCCACCTGCTACACCTGTACCACCTGCTACACCTGTCACCCACCTGCTACACCTGTCACCACCTGCTACACCTGTCACCCACCTGCTACACCTGTCACCCACCTGCTACGCCTGTCACCCACCTGTCACCTACCTGCTACACCTCTCACCCACCTGCTACATCTGTCCTCCACCTGCTACACCTGTCACCCACCCGCTACACCTCTCACCCACCTGCTACGCCTGTCACCCACCTGCTACACCTGTTACCCACCTGCTACACCTGTCACCACCTGCTACACCTGTCACCCACCTGCTACACCTGTCACCCACCTGCTACGCCTGTCACCCACCTGTCACCTACCTGCTACACCTGTCACCCACCTGTCACCCACCTGCTACATCTGTCACCCACCTGCTACACCTCTCACCCACCTACTACACCTGTCACCCACCTGCTACACTTGTCACCCACCTGCTACACCTGTACCACCTGCTACGCCTGTCACCCACCTGTCACCTACCTGCTACACCTGTCACCCACCTGTCACCCACCTGCTACACCTGTCACCCACCTGCTACACCTGTCACCTACCTGAACACCTGTCACCCACCTGCTACACTTGTCACCCACCTTCTACACCTGTCACCCACCTGCTACGCCTGTCACCCACCTGCTACACCTGTCACCCACCTGTCACCTACCTGAACACCTGTCACCCACCTGCTACACCTGTCACCCACCTGTCACCTACCTGAACACCTGTCACCCACCTGCTACACCTGTCACCCACCTGTCACCCACCAATCACCCACCTGCTACACCTGTCACCCACCTGCTACACCTGTCACCCACCCGCTACACCAATCACCCACCTGCTACACCTGTCACCCACCTGCTACACCTGTCACCCACCTGCTACACCTGTCACCCACCTGCTACACCTGTCACCCACCTGCCTCAACCTTCTGCCCATTTTTCAGCTGAATGGCCACCTTCTCCGGTAACATCTGGTACAGAAGTCTGTCTGTTTTCTGCTTCTCAAACTCTAACTCCTTGGACGTCCGCTTCAGCTCGGCTGTCGTCTCGTCAAGTTTCTTACTGGAAGGAAAAAAAACTTGTCATTTACACTTGTCACAAAGTCTTGACAACGGCTCTTGGCTTTTAACATGTCACACAACTACGGTAATATATTTGTTTTTATGTCTTGCCTATGATGGTTGTTTGATAGTTTAAAAAACTTTAAGCTAAATCTTGTCTTTCAAAAACACGAGGATCTCTGTAGTTGGTGAGTCGTTGAATGACTGTGTGTATTTCTATATTTAACGAATGACTGTTCAGTTACTTGAGCGACTGTATGTGTTTCTATGTACTCATGTAGATGATATAGAAACTATTATGCCACCCCTAGTACGCGAGTATTTTTTGACGGCACTGATGTCAATTAACCACGCCCACTCATATGATGTCATTAAACTCCGCCCACTCATGTGACGCCACTAAACCCAGACCATTTACGTGGCGCCACTAAAACCCCGCCCACTCACTAAAACCCCGCCCACTCACTAAACCCCGCCCACTCACTAAACCCCACCCACTCACTAAACCCCACCCACTCACTAAACCCCGCCCACTCACGTGATGTCGATCTCAGCGTTCCTCTGCTGGTAGAGCAGCACCATCTCCCTGGTGACGTCATAGAGCGGGATGTCGGCCATGTACACGTTCATCCGCTTCATCTCCTTCAGTGACGTCAGACGAGGCGAGCCGATGAAGATCATCAGCTTGTTGGACTCCATCCAGATCATCTGACCTAGAGGTCGATAGGTCATGGTTTTCATTAGAGGTCGATATGTCATAGTTTTCATTAGAGGTCGATAGGTCATAGTTTTCAGTAGAGGCAGATATGTCATAGTTTTCATTAGAGGCAGATCTGTCATAGTTTTGCATTAGAGGCATATATGTCATAGTTTTCATTGGAGGCTGATTTGTCATAGTTTTCATTAGAAGCCGATATGTCATAGTTTTCATTAGAGGCAGATCTGTCATAGTTTTCATTAGAGGCCGATATGTCCTGGTTGTAATAGGTTGGTAATGTCAAAGTTTTTAATAGAGGTCGATATTTCATAGTTTAATACGGGCTGATATGTCTGATATATGCTTACGTTAAAGGCCGATGTGTCATAGTTTTTAGTAGGAGGTCAAAATACAAGACCTAGGTCACACTGAAGCTAAATTATAAGACATAGTTCAAATAGAGGTCATATTACAAGACCCCGGTCATACCGAGGTCAAATTACACCTTAGGTCAAACAGGCGGCACCAAAGGTCCACGATCTATATTTTTATATTTTATTTTCCGGGTTACTTCATTGTTTCAAAAACTGACGCGATAAAGCCAGCTAATTGTTGCAGAGTTGTTCCAGGCATCTCTTCGGGGGGGGGGGGGTGTCCCCCCCCGAAATTTTTTTACCGCCCCCCCCCCCCCCCCGGAACGAAATGAAATTTATATAATTTATATAGAAAATATATACTTTTAACAGTGTCCGCCTCCCAGAAGAAAGTCTACCGCCCCCCCCCCCCCCCGAAAATTTCAAGTGCCCCCCCGAGAAAAAAGTCTGGAAGAAACACTGATTGTTCGTTCATTATTCAACAAAGTTCTATTTTAGTTCGAGTGTTTCACCAAAGCCGTACGGGAGTCACGTGTCTGGGTTTGACCAACACGTCTCTTCAACTGTCAACCTCGTTAAGCCAGTAGACAATAAGACACTGATGAGAAACTAATCCTTCGATAATCCAAGTCCCAACAAACGGATACAGCGTCTGATTACCTTTCATGCTGAAGAAGTTCTCGTCATCGCTCTGATGACTGGCCTCGATGGCGATGACGAAGATGGTGTTGATGAACCTCTTGATGTTCTGCACAGAAAACGTCATTCGGGGGTAGACCACACGAAACGCTGACGTCATGAGCATCCCCTCACGCAGGGGGATGGGAGACAACTTGCCCACGCTGACGCCATATTGGCAGAGGCGGAGATTCTCGTCGAAGATCAGGTGATAGGGGAAGGTGGAGATGAACTGGGTCTTGGTCAGTACAACAGGGGCGCTGGTGGCATGAATAATACAGGCAATAGATGAGGTGGGTCAGTACTACAGGGGCGCTGGTGGCATGAAGAATAATAATTACATTTATTTATTTGATTCATCCACATTCGAAAAAGATCGTGCACATTATATTACCAACGTTTCTTTTAAGGTGGTGGGAGGGGGGGGGGGAGAGGCGGCAACCAGAGCGTAGCAACCCTTCCCGGCGCCCGGGGACAAACTTTCAATTTTGCGCCCCCCCCTATATTTTTTATATTTATAATGCAAAACTGCAGCTAAAATGAGCTTTTAATTTTTTTTTCCAACCCATTTTGGGGCCCCTTAGGGTCGGCGCCCGGGGTCATATCTACACACCCGCCCCCACTCCCCTTGCTACGTCTCTGGCGGTCAGTTAAAGAATATATTTATATCTTCTATATAAGACTTGACTTGACAAGACTTGACTGATATTCTAAGGCGGAGTTTAGACGATGCGTCAAGACTTATAGTTGACTGCAATTTTAAGGCTGTATTCAGACAATGCGACACAACTTACAGTTAACTGATACTCTAAGGCAGATTTCAGACAATGCGACACGACTTACAGCTGACTCTCGTTGAAGCCCTCGACCTCCCTGCACTCGTGCTCCAGGCCCTCGGGCTCCTCCCTGACCTCCTTGCTCTTGAGGATGACCACACGGAAGACGCTGTGTTCCTGGGTGCGCTCGGCGTCCAGCTGCTCCATCTGTCGGCTCAGCAGCGTGATGTCCACTTCCTGCTCGAAGATTTCCCTGGCCACTGCTCGGACCACCCCTGGTCAAGAGATTTGGTCATTGGGTTAGATTATATGGACTAATCTTTGACCCCTGGTCAAGAGATTTGGTCATTGGGTTAGATTATATGGACTAATCTTTGACCGGTCATTGGGTTAGATTATAAGGACTAATCTCTGACTCGTTGGGTTAGATTATATGGACTAATCTCTGACTCATTGGGTTAGATTATATGGACTAATCTCTGACTCATTGGGTTAGATTATATGGACTAATTTCTGACTCATTGGGTTAGATTATATGGACTAATCTCTGACTCATTGGGTTAGATTATATGGACTGATCTCTGACTCATTGGGTTAGATTATATGGACTAATCCTTGACCCCTAGTCAAGAGATTTGGTCATTGGGTTAGATTATATGGACTAATCCTTGACCCCTAGTCAAGAGATTTGGTCATTGGGTTAGATTATATGGACTAATCCTTGACCCCTAGTCAAGAGATTTGGTCATTGGGTTAGATTATATGGACTAATCCTTGACCCCTAGTCAAGAGATTTGGTCATTGGGTTAGATTATATGGACTAATCTCTGACCCCTGGTCAAGATATTTGGTCATTGGGTTAGTTTATAAAGATTAATCTTTGACCCCTGGTCAAGATATTTGGTCACTTGGTTAGATTTTAAAGACTAAGTTCGGATGACCCGTGGTCAAAATGTGATCATTAATTTATATAGATGAAACTCTGATGAGATCTGGCCATTGCTTTAGTGGTAAAAACAACAGAACTTCCACTTTAAATGTGCGTGTCTACTGGGCTCTCAGTGAATAGAGTTGGATTAGTTTATTGATTAGGTGCACTCACATGTTTCTCTACATTCATACAGAACAGTGCAACGTTGCAAAGTGGGTGGATGCTAAACAAAATTAGCCGCAAAGGATTAAAGATAATCCTGTATTTTGACAAACTCATAAGTTATATTGAAAAAGCTATATTCAGACATGTCTAAAAGCAGGTCATTTGCATTTCATTTGCAGGTTATGTGCAGGTAATTTGCAGGCAATATGCAGGTAATTGCTACCCACAGACAAGAAAAACGTTTGATTTGTTGTATCGATCCTTAATGCAAATCATGTCGGTATCGACATTTGATAAACAAATAATTGCGTCAGACTTTGATATATAGAGAACGATGTGAAAAGTTTACGAGTATATGCATGGGTGGGGGGGGGGGGGGAGGGAGGAGTTAAACGGTGATTTAAAGGCAGTCACGGTCTTAGACTCAATCAACAGTGTGCGATCACTCTCACAGGGAAACGTAATCGAAATATCTGGTGGTAATCGATGATTGGGACCCGAATGTGGGCGTAATTGTCAAACCAGTTGATCATATTAACACTGACCCTGTGAAGCAAAGTTAAAATTCCAGACCAGACTAGCGATAGGGCAGAGGAAGTAGAGTTCACCTGTATCCTGATCTCGACATGTGAAAGAGTATTGTGCTCAGCCTTATGTGCGGCCGTCTCTGTTTCCGTAAATCGAGTCAGGTACCCATTTTAGCTGATAGGACTCAGGGAATTCTTATGTGTAAGGTACCAATGAGAGCTGAGTAGACATGCAGAAATTAAGGACGTGATCCGAACTGGAGACTTTCGTGTAGTAGCTTATTGTTCTACAACCCGACCACGCCGTCCCCCGAAACAGAAGTTGGTGTGGTCTAAATTTTGGGGTGGGTGTGTCACGTGATGTTACCTCTGACCAGGGGGTGGAGCCCTGTCCGCGTACTGTAGTAGTGGAGGGTCAGCGAGTCGTCTGGGTTGTTCTCACACCTGCAACAAACACGTGCACCAGTGATGTAAGTACTCACCACTGTAGGTTTGCAATATATAATTAACCCGAACCTGCACTGGTGACTTAACAAATAACATGACGAATAACTTGAAGTACAAAACAATAAGTGTATATATATATATATATATATATATATATATATATATGTATATATATATATATATGTATGTATATATATATATATATATATATATATATATATATATATATATATATATATATATATATATATATATATATGTAAGGTACCAATATATATATATATATATATATATATATATATATATATATATTGGTACCTTACATATATATATATATATATATATATATATATATATATATATATATATATATATATATATATATATATATATATATACACTGTAGTTTGGCTAACTTGATGCTCTTCATGCGCCGATAAACAAATAACCAAACTTAAGTTTCACATAAAAACAATAAATACCAGACGGAAAATTAATCGGTCTTCATCTTCCCCCCACCTCCCTTCCTTTTTTCTCCTGCAATAAAATATTTTCAAAATCTTTCAACTTCCCTTAGTAATTGTAAAATACCAACCAGCAAATTATTTCTCTGTGTACATTCAATTACTGCAATCATTTTTTATCAATTTACTTCAATTACCTTTAACAATTTATTTCAGTTTTTTTTAAATCAAATTTTTTCCCGTAAGTGTTTTAACCTGACTCAACAGACAATTGGAGCATCTTGTCAAAGCCAAGATTTTAAGGCTGTTTTTTTTTTTTTTTGTGGGGGCTAGCCAACGGTCCTCATAATATTGCAAGCGTCAGACACAACACCATTATCTCAGCTTATAAGGATAAATACACCCCCCCACCCCTTCCACGCCATAAATGTTTCAAACTTTTCTGACCATTTGATACGAGAAAAAAAGTATTTTGGAGTCTATGTTTTCTTTATTTTCTTAAGAAAAAACACGTACATTAACTTAACTATTAATATATGACGGGAAAACTGGGATAACTTGACCATTAACTAGACCCTCTCGATGGGGTAACTTGACCATTAACTAGACCCTCTCGATGGGGTAACTTGACCATTAACTAGACCCTCTCGATGGGGTAACTTGACCATTAACTAGACCCTCTCGATGGGGTAACTCTACCATTAACTAGACCCTCTCGATGGGGTAACTTGACCATTAACTAGACCCTCTCGATGGGGTAACTCTACCATTAACTAGACCCTCTCGATGGGGTAACTTGACCATTAACTAGACCCTCTCGATGGGGTAACTTGACCATTAACTAGACCCTCTCGATGGGGTAACTCTACCATTAACTAGACCCTCTCGATGGGGTAACTCTACCATTAACTAGACCCTCTCGATGGGGTAACTCTACCATTAACTAAACCCTCTCGATGGGGTAACTCTACCATTAACTAGACCCTCCCACCTGGGGTAACTTGACCATTAACTAGACCCTCTCGATGGGGTAACTTGACCATTAACTAGACCCTCTCGATGGGGTAACTTGACCATTAACTAGACCCTCTCGATGGGGTAACTTGACCATTAACTAGACCCTCTCGATGGGGTAACTTGACCATTAACTAGACCCTCCCACCTGGGGTAACTTGACCATTAACTAGACCCTTTCGCCTGAGGTAACTTGACCATTAACTAGACCCTCTCGATGGGGTAACTTGACCATTAACTAGACCCTCTCGATGGGGTAACTTGACCATTAACTAGACCCTCTCGATGGGGTAACTTTACCATTAACTAGACCCTCCCACCTGGGGTAACTTGACCATTAACTAGACCCTCTCGCCTGAGGTAACTTGACCATTAACTAGACCCTCTCGATGGGGTAACTTGACCATTAACTAGGCCCTCTCGATGGGGTAACTTGACCATTAACTAGACCCTCTCGATGGGGTAACTTGACCATTAACTAGACCCTCTCGATGGGGTAACTTGACCATTAACTAGACCCTCTCGATGGGGTAACTTGACCATTAACTAGGCCCTCTCGATGGGGTAACTTGACCATTAACTAGACCCTCTCGATGAGGTAACTTGACCATTAACTAGACCCTCTCGATGGGGTAACTTGACCATTAACTATACCCTTCCGTCTCTTCTTCCAGTGTGTGAGTACACAATTTGTCTTGCCACTCAACCTGTATTTTAATTAGCATCTCCCTCCAGTTGAGTCATGAGTACACTTTTAATTAGTGATTTAAAATGTATTGGAAAACACCTACCTGACCTGACAGGTATAAAAATGGGACCGTCTGATTGCATACCATTGTTTTGAGAGAGTTGTGTATGTTGGGAAACCTGCCTAACTTGGGGTCTGGTTTTAAAATATCTGCGTGGTTGTTTTGTGGAATGAAGAAGTGCCAAGCGCTTTCACAAACCTGTCGGTGTTTCGGCTATTAGAGTCACCGTTCGGTCATTAGAGTCAACGTCCGTTTATTAGAGTCAGCGGGTAGTTCTGTCGTAAATTGAATGTTGTAAAAATGGATGTGCACTAAATTTAATCAGGTTTTGAAGCACTGTATGGCGTTATAACCTTTATTGTTTATTCCTTGTCCCCTGCTAGTTTAATGTTGCTGGTAATTGTTGACTGCTAATTTTGAACTAAATAAAACTTAGATATATTTTATAATCGTTTTTGTTTCTACTAGGGGTCTAGGGTTACCCCGACATTACCCAGTAAAAGATGTACCTGTACTGGGTTAGAGAAAACTTTACCCGTGTCTAAAGTCACCCCGACATTACCCAGCGTGCTAGAGGAAAGAAAACCTTACCGGAAGGAGGGAGCGACGATTTTGTCGTAGGTCAAGGCTAGCAGGGAGTGGAGGGAGTCAAGGTTCTGGATGAAGCTGGTGATGTCTGACCCCAGGGTCCTCAGCATGTCGTCATAGCCGTACCTCAGGCAGTGGACCAGGAAGTAGTCGCCGAATACTTCTAGAACCGTCTCGGCTGGTAGATCTAGGGGGGGGCGGAAAGTTGAGGAATTAGGCGCTATAAACTTCTAGAACCGTCTCAGCTGGTAGATCTAAAAGGGGGGGGGGGAGGAAAGTTTGGAGAACATTCGAGAAGCGTCAACAGTCTCAGGTGACGAGAGTACATAAAACATGATACAACGTTAAAGGGAGAAGAATTTAAACATCTGCAATCAACGTCTAACAATAACGTCATCTGGACCAATCCATACATAAAACAACCAATCAATTTGCTAATACAGTGTTATGCAATAAACTTCGATAATTCTTTCATTTTTTTCTTATATATATATATATATATATATATATATATATATATATATATATATATATATATATATATATATATAAATATATGTTTTTGTGTTAGTTAGTGGATGTGGATCGGTGTACGTGCGAGCGGTGTGATATGACAACAAGGCAGTAAACAGTACATCGGACACAAAATGCACCGGAAACTTATTGCTTTTAGAGCAACAACAAAAATCTTCATAATCTTTTCTCATCCGCTTTTCATAACTTTAATACACCAAAAGCTTTTCTTAAGAAATTGTTTCTTGGTCTTTTTTTGTGTTCACATTTTTACAAGAGATTGTCCTTGAGGCGATAATCTGCACCTTGATATTGATTAAATGGAAGATTATGTCCCCTGTTTGTTCAATTGAACAAATCAATACGAGAATCGATACTTACTTAGACATTTACTTGCCGATGCCACCAAGGTGAAGGTCATTGCGTCATCGTAGTGGTAGAAGAGCATGAGGTGTTCTCGTTCTTCCATCCCAGCGTCCTTCCTGTGGGGGAAGTAGAGTTTAGGGGTGGGGGAAGTGGTGGTAGACTTTAGGGGTGTGGGTGGTAGAGTTAGGGGTGGGTGGTAGACTTTAGGGGTAGGGTGGTAGACTTTAGGGGTGGGTGGTAGACGTTAGGGGTGGGGGTGGTAGACTTTAGGGGTGGGTGGTAGACGTTAGGGGTGGTGTAGTAGAAGTTAGGGGTGGGGGTGGTAGAAGAGCATGAGGTGTTCTCGCTCCCAGCGTCCTTCCTGTGGGGGAAGTAGAGTTTAGGGGTGGTAGACTTTAGGGGTGGGGGCGGTAGACTTTAGGGGTGGGGGTGGTAGACTTTAGGGGTGGGGGTGGTAGACTTTAGGGGTGGAGGAAGTAGACTTTAGGGTTGGGGATGGTAGGCTTTAGGGGTGGGGGTAGTTGACTTTAAGGGTGGAAGTGGTAGACTTTAGGGGTTACGGGAGTAGATTTTTGGGGTGGGGGCAGTAGACGTCAGGAGGGGGGGTGGTATACACTAGGTGTTGGGAGGGGGGCGGAACATTTGAAGTGGAGGGTAAAGGACAGAATGAACAACGGACATCATGGGGAGGGGGGAGGGTATAGACTTAATTGGACAATTGAATTACTTATGGAACTGTTGGAAGGATCAAGCTGGACCACGGATATTGATCAAATAGTGTCAATGGTTTAGTAAACAAGAGAATATGTTTTAAACATTGGAGTAGGGCCTACACACACGTAAACAAGAGGATATGTTTTAAAGATTGGAGTACACACACATAAACAAGAGGATACTTGGCAAAGTGTTTATAATTTAAAAAAAAAAAGTCTATTATAAACATTGTATAGCAGTTTAACTTTAACGTGCTTCCATTTAAGATATAGCCGACTTGTGACGACTTAAAGACGTTAAAAGTTAAAACTGAGAATTTTGACCTTGACCCCTCCCCCACTAAGGTCACGTGACACAATAACTCATGGCGTGTGAGTCACTTTAAAAGTTATGGTACAGTTTACTTTTCCAACTTTAAGCTTCGCCAACTCTTTAACGAAATTTACGACTTGTTCAGTGTAAAAGAAAAAAGATCACCCCCCCCCCCTCACTCCCCCTCCACTGCCCCCGTCCAAATCCCTAAGATGAAACGTAGCAACTAGCTTAACCCAATGGCCGTCAGACAAACTTGAACACGACTCACGATTCTTTGAACACACGATAGATAAGATCTTCATATACAGGCAAGACAAGATCTTCATATACAGGCAAGACAAGATCTTCGTATACAGGCTAGACAAGATCTTCATATACAAACTAGACTAAATCTTCACATACAGAGACAAGATCTTTATATACAGGCTAGACAAGATCTTCATATACAGAGACAAGATCTTCATATACAGAGACAAGATCTTCATATACAGAGACAAGATCTTCATATACAGGCTAGACAAAATCTTCATATACAGAGACAAGATCTTCATATACAGAGACAAGATCTTCATATACAGGCTAGACAAGATATTCATATACAGGCCAGAAAAGATCTTCATATACAGGCTAGAAAAGATCTTTATATACAGGCTAGACAAGATCTTCATATACAGGCTAGAAAAGATCTTTATATACAGGCTAGACAAGATCTTCATATACAGGCTAGACAAGATCTTCATATACAGGCTAGAAAAGATCTTCACATACAGAGACAAGATCTTCATATACAGAGACAAGATCTTCATATACAGGCTAGACAAGATCTTCACATACAGAGACAAGATCTTCATATACAGAGACAAGATCTTCATATACAGAGACAAGATCTTCATATACAGAGACAAGATCTTCATATACAGGCTAGACAAGATCTTCATATACAGGCTAGACAAGATCTTCATATACAGAGACAAGATCTTCATATACAGAGACAAGATCTTCATATACAGACTAGACAAGATCTTCATATACAGACTAGACAAGATCTTCATATACAGAGACAAGATCTTCATATACAGAGACAAGATCTTCATATACAGAGACAAGATCTTCATATACAGAGACAAGATCTTCATATACAGAGACAAGATCTTCATATACAGGCTAGACAAGATCTTCATATACAGAGACAAGATATTCATATACAGAGACAAGATCTTCATATACAGAGACAAGATCTTCATATACAGGCTAGACAAGATCTTCATATACAGAGACAAGATCTTCATATACAGAGACAAGATCTTCGTATACAGAGACAAGATCTTCATAAACAGAGACAAGATCTTCATAAACAGAGACAAGATCTTCATATACAGAGACAAAATCTTCATATACAGAGACAAGATCTTCATATACAGGCTAGACAAGATCTTCATATACAGGCTAGACAAGATCTTCATATACAGAGACAAGATCTTCATATACAGAGACAAGATCTTCATATACAGGCTAGACAAGATCTTCATATACAGAGACAAGATCTTCATATACAGAGACAAGATCTTCATATACAGAGACAAGATCTTCATATACAGAGACAAGATCTTCATATACAGGCTAGACAAGATCTTCATATACAGGCTAGACAAGATCTTCATATACAGAGACAAGATCTTCATATACAGAGACAAGATCTTCATATACAGGCTAGACAAGATCTTCATATACAGAGACAAGATCTTCATATACAGAGACAAGATCTTCATATACAGGCTAGACAAGATCTTCATATACAGAGACAAGATCTTCATATACAGAGACAAGAACTTCATATACAGAGACAAGATCTTCATATACAGGCTAGACAAGATCTTCATATACAGAGACAAGATCTTCATATACAGAGACAAGATCTTCATATACAGGCTAGACAAGATATTCATATACAGGCCAGAAAAGATCTTCATATACAGGCTAGACAAGATCTTCATATACAGGCTAGACAAGATCTTCATATACAGAGACAAGATCTTCATATACAGAGACAAGATCTTCATATACAGGCTAGACAAGATCTTCATATACAGAGACAAGATCTTCATATACAGAGACAAGATATTCATATACAGAGACAAGATCTTCATATACAGGCTAGAAAAGATCTTCATATACAGGCTAGACAAGATCTTCATATACAGAGACAAGATCTTCATATACAGAGACAAGATCTTCATATACAGAGACAAGATCTTCATATACAGAGACAAGATCTTCATATACAGGCTAGACAAGATCTTCATATACAGAGACAAGATCTTCATATACAGATACAAGATCTTCATATACAGGCTAGACAAGATATTCATATACAGGCCAGAAAAGATCTTCATATACAGGCTAGAAAAGATCTTTATCTACAGGCTAGACAAGATCTTCATATACAGGCTAGAAAAGATCTTTATATACAGGCTAGACAAGATCTTCATATACAGGCTAGACAAGATCTTCATATACAGGCTAGACAAGATCTTCACATACAGAGACAAGATCTTCATATACAGAGACAAGATCTTCATATACAGGCTAGACAAGATCTTCACATACAGAGACAAGATCTTCATATACAGAGACAAGATCTTCACATACAGAGACAAGATCTTCATATACAGAGACAAGATATTCATATACAGAGACAAGATCTTCATATACAGAGACAAGATCTTCATATACAGAGACAAGATCTTCATATACAGAGACAAGATCTTCATATACAGAGACAAGATCTTCATATACAGACTAGACAAGATCTTCATATACAGAGACAAGATCTTCATATACAGAGACAAGATCTTCATATACAGAGACAAGATCTTCATATACATAGACAAGATCTTCATATACAGAGACAAGATCTTCATATACAGGCTAGACAAGATCTTCATATACAGAGACAAGATATTCATATACAGAGACAAGATCTTCATATACAGGCTAGACAAGATCTTCATATACAGGCTAGACAAGATCTTCATATACAGAGACAAGATCTTCATATACAGAGACAAGATCTTCATATACAGAGACAAGGTCTTCATATACAGAGACAAGATCTTCATATACAGAGACAAGATCTTCATATACAGAGACAAGATCTTCATATACAGGCTAGACAAGATCTTCATATACAGGCTAGACAAGATCTTCATATACAGAGACAAGATCTTCATATACAGAGACAAGATCTTCATATACAGGCTAGACAAGATCTTCATATACAGAGACAAGATCTTCATATACAGAGACAAGATCTTCATATACAGAGACAAGATCTTCATATACAGAGACAAGATCTTCATATACAGGCTAGACAAGATCTTCATATACAGGCTAGACAAGATCTTCATATACAGAGACAAGATCTTCATATACAGAGACAAGATCTTCAGATACAGGCTAGACAAGATCTTCATATACAGAGACAAGATCTTCATATACAGAGACAAGATCTTCATATACAGGCTAGACAAGATCTTCATATACAGAGACAAGATCTTCATATACAGAGACAAGATCTTCACATACAGAGACAAGATCTTCATATACAGGCTAGACAAATCTTCATATACAAACTAGACTAAATCTTCACATACAGAGACAAGATCTTCATATACAGGCTGGACAAGATCTTCATATACAGAGACAAGATCTTCATATACAGAGACAAGATCTTCATATACAGAGACAAGATCTTCATATACAGAGACAAGATCTTCATATACAGGCTAGACAAGATCTTCATATACAGGCTAGACAAGATCTTCATATACAGAGACAAGATCTTCATATACAGGCTAGACAAGATCTTCATATACAGGCTAGACAAGATCTTCATATACAGAGACAAGATCTTCATATACAGAGACAAGATCTTCATAAACAGGCTAGACAAGATCTTCATATACAGAGACAAGATCTTCATATACAGGCTAGACAAGATCTTCATATACAGAGACAAGATATTCATATACAGAGACAAGATATTCATATACAGAGACAAGATCTTCATATACAGAGACAAGATCTT